GGTTAAACGCATTGAACCCCAACACCTAGGATGGTGAAAATTTGATATCGTGTATCCTACAAGAATATTTGACTTTGAAATACACTATACCAAGATATCGTGTCCAGGAACGTACAAAAACTGCTCACAGCCCAGCGCACTTTTCTCCTAAATATAGACTTCAAGTTCAGGTAAAAAGGGAGATACAGATTTCATACTTTTATCAAGACATTTAAGATTCTAGAATCATCTGCTTAAGGTGTCGCAGCGTCGTTGTGACGTCTCTTTGACGGCCTACTGGTGTCATCATCCCCGCTGTCACCACTCGCAGACTTTGCTTCTTCGACACTACCGGCGGCTGGCCTGCGCGCGCGGATCTTTCGCTTTCTCTGTGTCGGCGGCAACAGGCTGCCGTTACGCCAATGCTTGTGCCAAATCTCGAAGCACGAAACGGACTCACCGTTGTTTACATGCTTGACCTTGTTGCACAGGTACACACGCGATGCCAGTGGCTGCTTTGAGCTTGTGTGTAGCTTGCAGGTGCTACAGTAGAATGTAGTCTCGCCCCCTCGCGACTCGTCGGAGCCCTTAAGCACCGAGCATACTTTGCATGCTCGTTGACGTCGCTTTCGACCTTTCCCGTTGTTTCCATCCCTCCACTCATCCACCTGCACCGGTACGTGGGTTCGCTGCATTGGCGGAGCGCGTGACTTCTTCGGGGTACGCTCCACCGCGCGGAGAGCATCCCAATCCGTCTCCTGCAACTGCGTCAGCTCCAAATGTAGTTGCTTCAGGAACTTGACATGGCTGAGCTTGGGTTTTCCATCAATAGCACGCCGTCGATTGTACACAATAAAAGCATTGACTGTTGCCAGGTCGATGAAGCCCAGAAAAAGCGACTTGTAGTATTTCTTATACTTTAGAGCCAATTGAAGAGAGTACCTTATACAACATGAATTATACAGGGTTAGCATCAACACTATCTTGTACATACAGCAGAAATGTACTCACCTTTGGAGGCGAAGTTGATCGTGTACATCAACTCCGCCCATGAAAGTTTGGTAATGTTTCAGCACTCTTGGACATGCCACCTCGACTTGCTCGCCAGACTTCGCTCGGCGAACTACGCGATCTTGCTCAGTACTTCCACCCGCACACAGCAAATGCACAGGACGGTTGTCCCACCAACACACTGCTTTCATACTCGGCACTAATGTTGACTCGGCAACAGCGTAGGTACCGCGGTGTACATCAGCAGGCCGCTTCTTCTTCTTCACGATAATCTCTTTGCAAAACCCACGCCGGTTGGTCATCACTGTGCCTATACTGTAGAACCCCATTGCTAGGAGCTGCATGGAGAGTGTCGGTGACGTGTAAAATCGGTCAGTGACCACTAGACGTTTTTCGATGGTTCCTCTTGCTCCAAAAACTTGCCTCAGGTTGCGAATAACGGCAGCTGGTCCACAGTTGGTGTCCTTCGAAGAGGATGACCTGTCCGTTTGCCACTTACCACAGTAGACTTCAAACCTGTATCATACACATTTATGTTGTTACATACTTGTATCCTACAGCTTAAGAGAACTTTACAACCAAAAAAAAGGAGCGTGCCGTGAGGCACGCTCTCAACTCACCTGAGACAGTATGCTGACGCAGAGCAGCACAACATGAAGAGCTTGGTCCCCCATTTATGGGGCTTGTCCTTCATGTAGACTCTCATCTGGTTGAACGTTGATCTTGAAGGCAACATTGCCTCATCAAATGCCATCACTGGAGGCGGTATGTAACCCGCTTTAAACTGTTGTTGGAGCGCGTCGACCACAGGACGCAGCTTCCAGGCACGATCTGTTGCGGCGCGGGGGCCGTTGTTGCTGCTGAAGTGGAGATTTCGAGAGATGTGCATGAAGCGATCCCGCGACATGAAAAGCCCGAAGCGTCCACGAGGAATTCCTCCTTCGTCTGTCGTCTTCCAGTGATTCTCCAGCTTTTCCTTGTTGGGAGCAATTGTTCGAGCAAATAGAAGCCCAACAAATACGCACAGCTCTCGAGCAGTGATAGGTGGCGTAGAGAGTAATACAGCCTTGATCGCATCGCGCGTGCTCTTCTTGAATCCAGGAATCTTCTTTTCTCTTTGTTCCTGCTTCGTGTACTGTCCTTCAACCCGTTCGTCGATCTTTTCATCAAAGTATTCGTTGCTTGCCTCCGCGATGTCTTCCCACAAGCGAGGCTGCATGAAGTAAAATAGCACCCCAGAAACTGTCGTGGCCGCTTCTAGACTTCTCGGTGTAGGTCCGTAGTGTTCTCGGAACAACTGCGGGTAATCCTCTTGCATATTCGCCGTGCGAGGCTCATAAGGCTGGTCGAGATATGGAAATGGACTGTATGATATAGGATTAGACCATCCATTGCTTGCCATATCCTTCAGGATATCAGCGCTAATCGTGCCGCTTGTAATACTAGCCATACCACCAACCGCAGTTAAAAGATCGTCGTCAAACAATGCTTCTGCTGGATCTTCATCATCTTCTTCCAGCTCGTCTTCGTCTCCGCCTTCCGTTTCATCTCCGAGTGCACTGTCAGCGCCGTCAGAACACCCGTCATCGTTTTCAGCATCGGAGACCATGGCTTGGTATTCCTCAGGATCGTCTGCGTCTACAGTAATGTTGATATCTGGTACAGCACAAGAATACAATCTACGATCAGTATCCTGTATCACAAACGTGTACATACGATCTAAAACGCACCATCACAAAACGCAGCAATCCTTGCCGACCGGCGAGGACCCGTATTCTCTCCTTGTCGTACGGTCTCATCAGCCTCGTCAAACGCCGGGTCCAGATTGCGTTGAATCTCGGGATCATCTTCCGAGCTTGGCTCATCGTCAGACTGGAGGCTATAAGTCATACGAGCTGACACGTCGGGGTACTCGACTCGTGGGGTCGGAGAGAGATGAGGCGATGTGCAGCGCAACGTCGGTGAAGGCTGGCTGCCATCACTATCACTGTGCGAGACGCCACTAACTCCATCTACAACACAGCAGCAATATACATGTTAGATCGCACGCTAAACGGTAAAATACAGGTAAACACAGCATCATACCAGACTGGCGTTGTTTTTTGGGCAACAGCATCATTCGTGTCTCTGCTGTCTTCATTTTGCTGATCACCACCTTCTGTATTGCTCTCCTCGCGTAACGTAGCTGCTGTAAGTAACACGTTTGTATTATACATCATTAGCCGGCAGAATATCGTGTATATTCAAGACCAAGCATCACAATACCGCTAGACGTGGCATCGACGTCTTCCTGAGGCTCAACGCATTCAGCAGTCGTAGCAAAGGCTGCTTCTGGTAGTGTAGGCTGCTGTGCTTCTTTGGCAGCTTTCTCTGTTTCAATATAACACGTTAGACTGTCATTATGCGATGCAAAATAATTCAAGGTCTTACCAAGATCAATGCGGTCTAAGTAGCGCATTAATTCCTCTTCTTCGACGAAAAAATCGACGCCACGGGTGTCCTTCTTGGTCTTACCAGGCTTCAAGTATGTGAAGTCAACCGAGAGGCCAGCCGGCCTCTTCGAAGACCAGCCTTCCTTCTTCAGCTCAGCCCAGCGGGCGCGAAAACCTGACATCTCTTGGACTCGGCGCAAATTTTTTAATGAGTGAAATGAGTGGCGTGTGAGCTATTGACTGTAAGAATTTGTCGTACGTTGTCCACACCACACTAAAACCTCTTAGACTTAATTTTTAGAAAATGGAAAGACGCACTTCGAGCCGGAAATAAGTAGGTGAGACAACCCGGCACCCCGTCCCCTATTTCATTTAAAGTTTGTATACCTCTATACAAACGTCAAGTCAAAATTCCTTATCGTGTATCGTCCAGGATAAGCTTTTTCTGATATCGTGTCTAATACAGGCCGTCGCGTTCAAGGGGTTAATGCTTTAAATGTGACTTCCGCTTGCCTATGTGATCTAACAGCTTACATTTCTGCAGCCACAAAGGAGTGCTGTTCGGAGCAATCCATGGTCAATTTAGCTCGTGGCAACCGCTCCGCAAGGGTCTTGAGCGGTTGACCACTACGTTCATCTAAATAGTGATCGCTTCTGTAGTGACTTGCGCAAATGCCTGCATTCTACTATGTTGCGGCTAATGAGCAGAAGTCACAAGTACAGCACAGGAAGGTTACTCTGACGCGTAATGTGAGACTACACTCTCGTTGAGCGTACAGTGAACGTATTGCGTAATTAATACTCACCGAGCGTGTATTGAATGAACTGTTTGCACACACGTTCGGTCGCAGGAGAAAAGACCAGGTAGTGTTGGGTACAAGTATTTATGATATCAGAGCTCTCATTAGGCAGGGGGTCGCAATTTCTTATGGGCTTTGTTTCAAAGGGGTTAAAAGTCGCATCTATCCATTATGGGGCCATAGTCGATAGACTATGGCCCCATAATGTATAAGTCTCATAGATCGTAAATACGATTCCTACATCTATTCAATTGTTATCTACAAAGCTATTCCCCCCTAAAAAGTGTATGTTGTCCATTATACTTCCTAGCTTTTTTCTGGTCCTTAAAACGCAGCAGCAACTTTGTCCCATAGTGAGCGGCTGAGAAGAGAAATAAACGTAGATAAGATTGGTTGGCCGGGGCCCTTGACGGTAGTAGCGATATATTTGACCAGCTTAAAAGAAATCTTCTACGTCGACTGTATCGGTTGCACCTGGTCCGTTACGGAGGGCGTCGCAATGGTAAAGCTACAATGGCCATCACCGTAACAAAGTGGTAGCCGTTGGTGAACCTCGCATCAAAGGCAAGGCAATCTTCTTGTCCATAAGCTTTGCTATGAAAGTGTCGCTGACATTGGCCGACAAGAACTCCATGTACAACAACATTGGCTTCGCTGATATAGCTGACATCTTGGTGTTCGTGTTAGCGCATGATTGTTCACAGCCCAGCAGCCGTCCAACCTGTGACGCCGCCGTGAGCTCTGCCTCCTTCGTTGACAGTGCAAGTCTAGTCTGCTTCTACACGCTCACGAGAATCATCTCTCCCCATTGGATTGTAGTATAGATACATGTATGTGAGGCAGCGCGTGAAGCCTGACTTGGAGTGCAACAGGTTGCTCCACAGCCTGCTCGTTTGACGCAGATCATACGGTGATTTCTCAGGCGCAGAGTCAGCTTGCCCTTGCCGCTAACGCCTAGCTTACGCAACAGGTCCCCACCGATCTCCATTCCCTGCGCGGTCTCCAGGTAGATCACCAGGTGCTGCTCCGTGTCCGCCTTCACGTATGCGTTGGGGGCGTCTCCGTGCCTCGCTGGCACTCCCCAACTCAGCGCAAACACCAGGAATACCCTGACCGTGATCCGTTTCATTACCACCGCGAAGGTGAGGCCAAAGTCGAAGCCGAACACTTTTTCGTTACCGCACGCGACCAGCCTCGACTTGAACCTCTCTTTGACTTCGTCAGCGTCCGTCTTCCTTTTGAAAATCCATTTAGTAAGCTTTACATGGCTGCCTACTGGTGGTACCACCACCACCCACACTTTTATAATGCCTTGAGCTCCTCTGCAATGACTACCAGAAATTCCCTTCACAGTCAGCTACTCACAGCTTGGGTCCGCCTCTCGCACACTGCTTACCACGTCCGTGCCCGGTGTGCTGCTCCTTCCTTACCGTACCTTGGTCCGCTGCTGCCTCAACGACTCCCGCGTCACCGTGCGCGTCCTGTGTTTATCCCGCGTCCAGCGATTCATTTTTTTGCCGCTACGCTTCTTCGTTTTGTCCTTCGAGCTCTCTTTCGAAGTCTTCTCTTCTGAGGTGGTTAGATTCTCCGAATCCTCCAAGCCTTCGAGATGCACTCATTTTAGGTGCTCGTTCTGTTTGGAGTCGATGTAACGGGGTTAGACGCAAGTGGCTACATGCAGCCACTTGGTTGCGAAGGAGGTTTTCCAAGTTGATGTGAGATACAACTATGGTTACATTTGACCGACTATTGGCCTGCGTGCATTTAGAAAATTCATTGGATGAAAGTCAATATCTTCAACCAATTAGAATAGTAGGATTCTGTCAACCATTCGTTGACGAATACTTTCATTTTGAATATTAGATTAGGAGGAAAGCCGAAACAAAACAAATATACAGTTCTCAATATTACCGGAAATCGGCTTTGCTTTCCTATTTAAGTAAATCAATACTTTTGGACGAAAGTTTAGTTAATCTAAAAGAAACGCAACTTACGCTTCCTCATGCACAGGGGTTAGTGTGTAAGCCGAAGTAGTGGGTTTGAAGTAGGCTCATTACAGTCGACGTGCACCGTAGAAGGTGATCCAAAGACCGCTAGGTCGCCCAAGTCCGGAGCGACCTTAGTTAGCATATTCAGCGATATATGCCGCGTATTCCACAGCATCCACCAGAAACTGAGGGGTGGACCACAGGAAAAACCATGCTCCGCACGATGTTCATGATGGTGTGGTGCATGCCCTCACCTTGCCGTTGTCCGCCTGGTCGCGCGGCTCTCTCACTTGCCTCAAAATCCCAGTTCTCTTGCAGAACTTATCAAGGATCTTGTACTCTCCTCCGCCGTCGGCTCGCAGCACATGGGTACGGCAATTAAACAACCTATCGACGAACGCCATGAAGTACTTGAGTTGCATCGCCGCCACGTCCTTGCTCTTTGGTAGGAAATCGCGACAATAGTGTTGGAGCGTCAACGTCGTTGACATCGACGAACAGATCTAGTGTCATCAGGGAGAATCTGGTACGTACTACTCGTTGGCCCACTGTGTCAAGTGGACACAGGATGAACACGGGCGACAGAGTGGCTCCAGCACCAGCGACATCAATGGGAGCGACGTGGGTATTTCGACGTGAGCGATGAGAAGGCTTGGGCAGGCGGCTCGGTCAAAGGGGACTCCGTCTGCATGTAGTGTCAGTTAGTTTTGCATTTTAAAGACCCACCAGCTCAATCACTTTCCAAAACACCACGACGAGTACAAGCGCCTTTCCGCCTCTCCGCAACCCTCCTTCCTCCAAGTGTCAACTTCCGACAGGTTATGACGTCCGCAACTACGGCCACGGCGTTCGCGACGAAGCTGAAGCACTTCAACGGTACTGGGTTCCCAGCGTGGGGCGCCCAGGTGAAGCTGGTCCTCGAGATCAAGGGACTCTGGGCTGACGTCGAGAAGGATGCGCCACCGGCTGACGGGCTTGCAGCGGAGGCTGAAGCGCTGAAGGTGTACGATGCGGCTGTCGTCGCTGGAACGTCCGGGACGGTGGCTCCGAGAACACCACTACATGAACAAGTCATGCGGCTGAAGATGGCGTCATCGATCATCCTGTCGGCGCTGACGGAGAAACTGGCAGCGGAGGTGTATCTGTTTGATCACCCGCTGGCCATGCTGCGCCACCTGCGGCTGACCTACAACGTGAAGTGTAGTGCCAGCGTCGGTGCTGCGAAACGAGAGTACATGAGTCTGTACCTCGCTGATGGTGACTCCATGACGGAGCACATCAAGACCACCAAGAGGGTGATTGGGGACCTCCAAGAGCAGCGTGTGTACTTGGCGGACGAAGAGAAGCGCCAGAACTTCATGCAGAGTCTGGGACCTGCGTGGAACGGTTTTGTCGGCGTTCTCGAGATGTGCCAGACATTCGAGGCGATGGTGACGCGGTGCCAAGCTGAGGCAATTCGTCGAGACCAGCAGAAGAATCGTCGCTCGACGAATGGCAGTGGTAAGTCGAATGCATCGAATGGAGCCTTCTCTGCTGAACAAGTGGCTGGCAAGAAGGGGAAGAATAAACGTGACATGACCAAGGTCAAGTGTTACAGCTGCCAAGAAATGGGGCACTTCGCGCGAGACTGCTCGAAGGAGCGAGTGCCACCGAAGGGCAAGGGCGGCGAGGCCGCTAGTGTGGCGTTCTCGGTCCACGATGTGACCGACGAGTGCAAGCGAGAGTGGATCGTGGACAGCGGGGCCACGAGCCACATGACAGGACATGCTGACAACTTGGTGGGGGCGCGTGAGCTGGCAGAGCCTCGTGTGCTCACAGTTGCGTCCGGTGACAGCTTGGTGGCAACCGCCATGGGGCAAGCACCACTGTACAAGAACGGGAAAGAGGTATGCGTCCTCCAAGATGTTCTATTTGTGAAGGGACTGGCCCGCAACCTCGTGTCTGTTGGGGCGGCATCGCGTCGCGGGATGACGGTGGAGTTTAAGGGAGTTGGTTGCGCTATTCGCGCGTCGAATGGAGTGACCATACAAGCATCGAGAGCACACAACCAAATGTACGTGCTGGATGCTGCCAGCAAGCCCGTCGAAGATGTCGCGATGATGACGAGCGAAGCGCCTCATGTGGAGACGTGGCATCGCCGCTTTGGACACTTAAATGTGCAAAGTGTTCAACAGCTACTGGGAGAGCTGGGGGTACCATGGAAAGGTGCTGTGAAGCAAGCGTGCCCAACGTGCGTGAGTGGCAAGCTGTCACAGAAGCCATTTGCCGCAAAGGACAAGCGCGTCCTCAAGAAAAACCAGATCCTGCTCGCAATCGACTACGTGGGGCCAATGCAGGTGACGTCTCGTGAAGGTTTTACTGGTATGGCGAACGTTGTTGTGGAGCCATTTCATCTAGATATGGTGTATCCACTTCGTGTGAAGAGCTCTCAAGCTCAACTGGATGCTATCAAGGACTGCATCGCGAAGATGAAGGCGTATGCTCCGACGTATCGTGTGGCGTTCGTCAAGTCAGACAACGCTGCAGAGTACACAGGTGGTGTGTTTGCTGCCTATTGTGAGAAGAACGACATTGTACAGGAGTTCTCGACTCCGTACAGTCCACAGCAGAATGGGAAGGTCGAGCGTGGCAATCGCGTAATTGTCGAGATGGCTCGGTCCATGATGCTTGGAGCCAACTTGCCAACTGTGTACTGGGCTGACGCAGTCGTGTGCGCTGGGTATGTGCGGAATCGCTGTCCAACGAAGGTGCTTGATGGGAAGACGCCGATGGAGGCCTTGTTTGGGAAAGCTCCTGACATCAGCAACTTGAGAGTCTTTGGATGTAAGGCGCAAGCACTGGTTCCGAAGGAGCACCGTAAGAAGCTGGACTCCAAGACACGCAACGGCATCTTCATCGGGTATGCTACAGGTGGTGCGTACTTGGTGTACATTCCGCACCATGGGACTGGTGAAGCAATCACGGCGCGCACCGTTGTATTCTACGAAGACCAGTTCCTTCCAGTCGACGATGGAGACGAGATCACGATAAGCTCGCAGCTCGATCTCTTGCAGTTGGATGCGGTTAACAGCACGCTTTTATCACGTCTCGAGACAGTAGAAGAAGAAAAGCAAGATGTGTCCATGGCCACACCCGGTGAGGAGGACGTGGCAATGGTGCCGACACCGAGCGCAGTAAGCAGCAATTTGGAAACACCGGATCAACCAACGAGTGGGAGTTCTCAACCAGTGGGAGCCGTTCGTATGCAAGCCCGGCTTCGAGGTGATCCACGTCTAGAGAAGGCAAAGAATCCTGTTCGCAAGTCCAGCAGGATCCCGAGGCCAAGTCAGCGCAAGCTGGACTACGACGAGTCGCACTTGTCCATGGAGGAGGTCTGCGCGATGGTTGAAGAGCGTGTTTTTCCTGCAGCAGTTGATGGTAGGAGTGTTCGAGACGGCTACATCTACAGCAACCTAACACCAAGTGACATTACGAATTGGGCTCTGGGTGTTGAGCCGCTCAACATTGAAGAAGTCGACGCGTCTGATGATCGAAGCGAGTGGGAGCGTGCAATGGACGACGAGATCCAGAGTCTTCTGGACAATGGGACGTTCGAAGAAGTACCATTGCCTCCAGGCCGCACTGCTGTGAAGTCAAAATGGGTGTTCAAAAAGAAAACTCTTGCGGATGGCAGCTTGGACAAGTACAAAGCACGTGTCGTCGCTAAGGGGTACAGCCAGCGGTTCGGAGTGGACTACACTGAGACGTTCAGCCCGGTCGTGCGCCACAGCACTCTTCGTCTTGTGCTGGTCATTGTGGTGGCGAGACGCATGAAGCGCATGCAGTTGGATGTGAAGGCCGCGTTCCTCAACTCAGCCTTGGACGAAGAGATCTACCTGGAACCAGCTGAAGGCTACAAGAATGCTGATGAACACGTATGGCGTCTGCGCAAGGCACTCTACGGGCTAAAGCAAGCGTCAAGATCCTGGTACGAGAACCTGCGTCTCTTTCTGGAGAGTCAAGGCTTCTATCAAGGAGAAGCCGACTACTGCCTGTTCTCAAAGGGCAGCGCGGATGACGACAATCTGATGATAATACTCGTTTACGTTGACGACATGTTGGTGTTCGCAACGCACGATGAGGACCTGGCCTCGTTCAAGGCTGCTATGGAAACGACATACGACGTGAACGACTTCGAGGATGCCAGCTACTTCCTTGGATTGGAGCTGCAGTGGTCACAAAGTGGTGACGAAGTGACTATCGGGCAGCAGAAGTATGCGAAGTCGATCCTCGAGCGGTTCAACATGGATAAAACGATGCCAGCACGCACTCCCATGGAGGAACGTTTTCGTGATCAACTCTTCAAGGCGCAGGAGGTGATCAACTTTCGTCCCCGTCCTGCTATCGGAGCGCTGCTTTATCTGACGGTAAACACGAGACCGGATATGGCTACTGCGGTGCGGATTCTTGCTCAAGAGATCGAGACTCCGACCGACTGCCTCAAGCACGGTGTGGAGCACGTCTTTCGGTACCTGCGCAACACTCAAGATTTTGGGCTGGTATACAAGAGCAGTGCTGTAAAAGGACTCGTTGTATACTGCGACGCTGCATTCGCAGTGGAGCGCAATGCTAAGTCGGCGACGGGGTACGCTATCTTCTACGACGGCTGCCTGATCGAGTGGGGATCGAAGAAGCAGTCGATGGTGACGCTGTCCTCCACCGAGGCTGAGTACATTGCGATGGGGAGCGGTGTCCAGGAGTGTATTGGGATCAACTTGGTCTTAAAGGATTTGGGACTGGAAGTTGACCAGATCACTGTGTTCGAAGACAACCAAGGGGCCCAACACCTGGCGGAGAGCAAGGCCGTGACGCAACGCTCGCGCCACATCGACACGAAGTATCACTGGCTTCGTGAGAAGGTGAAGGAGGACCACATTCGTATCGAGTACTGCCCCACTGCGGAGATGATCGCCGACCACTTCACCAAGGCTCTGGGAGCAACCAAGTTCCAGTACTTTCGTGACCGTCTCGCCGTTCGTCGAGTGGGAGTGTTGGAGCGTCAACGTCGTTGACATCGACGAACAGATCTAGTGTCATCAGGGAGAATCTGGTACGTACTACTCGTTGGCCCACTGTGTCAAGTGGACACAGGATGAACACGGGCGACAGAGTGGCTCCAGCACCAGCGACATCAATGGGAGCGACGTGGGTATTTCGACGTGAGCGATGAGAAGGCTTGGGCAGGCGGCTCGGTCAAAGGGGACTCCGTCTGCATGTAGTGTCAGTTAGTTTTGCATTTTAAAGACCCACCAGCTCAATCACTTTCCAAAACACCACGACGAGTACAAGCGCCTTTCCGCCTCTCCGCAACCCTCCTTCCTCCAAGTGTCAACTTCCGACAAATAGTTGGCTCTTTGATCGATAAAGTGATTAGATACCGGTTTCCGAGTCGGTCGCGTGGAGTCATCGGCCATTTCAAGTCGTAGCAGATGCCCCACCGATGACATCTATT